TGGGTAACAAGAGCGAAACTCCGTCTCAAAAAAAAAAAAAAAAAACTTCTAATGAATCTAATTTTTAATTCTCTGACTCTTCTGCCTTTTGTTGCCAGAAGTTTCTGAGCCCAGAGGGGCTGTGGATCAGCCAGCTCTCACCCGGGCTGCATTCTACGGTGACTCTGTGGGCACCACAAGCTGTGGTTTCTTCAAACCAACTCCATCGAACAGCACTTTGCAAGAATTCTGTTGAACTCTCTCATGCTCCAATAGCCCTCATAGCCCATTGGTTCAGCTCGGGGTGAATTCATCCCCCAGGGAACATCTGGCATACTGCAGATAATTTTTGGTTGCCACAACTGAGTTGGGGGTTGCTACTGGTACCTAGCAGGTAAAGCCCAGGGATGCTGCTAAGCCTCCTACGATACGTAAGACAGCCCACAACAACAAATAATTATTATCATTACCATTTCAGTAGCTTCTCAGGATAAAGAAGAGGTCAACATATATAGTCAAATTGACATCTTTTTTTTTTTTTGAAAGGGAGTTTCTCTCTGTTGTCCAGGCTGGAGTGCAATGGCGTGATCTCAATTCCCTTCAACCTCTGCCTCCTGGGTTCAAGTGATTCTCCTGCCTCAGCTGACTACAGGCACCTGCCATCATGCCCAGCTAATTTTTTTTGTATTTTTAGTAGAGACTGGGTTTCACAATGCTGTACAGGTTGGTCTGGAACTCTGACCTCAGGCGATTTGCCCACCTTGGCCTCCCAAAGTGCTGGGATTATAGGCGTGAGCCACTGTGCCTGGCCTTGGATTGATATCTTTGTATCATTCAAGTTCTTGGAGACTGTTTCTTCAGTCATAAAATGAGACTGATACTTAGGAATCCTATTAGGACTAAATGAGATGATATACAAACAGGTTCCAAAGCGTTTTTCAAAACTAGTCAGAAGTTATTATTTTTAAAAATGTTTTGATAGCTTGGCAGATTAAAAATGCTACCTTGTTTAAATTGACATTTTTTTGTACTGGGTGAGGCTAAAATACTTTCATGTGTTTATTTTGCAATTTGCATTCATTCTGCTGTGATTTGTCCAAATCTTCTGTTCACACCGATTAACAATGATATGTTTATTATTACCCACAGGTCTGGCCCTGCCAGCATGTGACTGCAAAATAGAGTCACATTTACTTTAACATTGAAACTACTCTGAATCACCACGTCACAAGTTAAGAAGAAATGTGCTGTTTTCCCAGGATTTCTCTTCCCAAGTGACTGTGATTCTCCAAAGTTGAAGGGCTGTCCTCGTCACTTGCTGCCCCCTGCTGGGAGAGCAGAAACTCACTCAATACTAGAGGGACTGTACTCCATGGCTATTGGGGACCCACATTTTCCTGAGGTGGCCCCACCTGCTGGTCTCCTAGGCTTCCCACTCCACCATTTAACACCTGGTGGTGGTCAGCAGACAACCATGTCACAGCCCTACAGCCCTGCAGAGATGGAGCCCAGCTGGACACCTGTCTCCACCTCTCCTAGAGCCCTCTTGTTTTCACTGCCAGGTGCAAGAATTGATCAACTCTCCCAGGTGAAGATGAATCCTCAAGCCGCAATAAAGATCTCGGTATTCAAGTCAATTATGATTGTCCCATATTGAAACTGCCAAAATCCCAAGTGATTCAGCTCTTTAGTGATATATGTATGCTTAGTAGTTTTATATATAAGTATTGAGCATTTATTGTGTGCTCATATAGCACGCATGAATTTACATGAATTATTTCATATTTATTTCTCATTTAAATATTAGGAGTTATGCAGATTATTATTACGGGTCCTACTTTATAGATGAGACTTGGACAGAGGTAGGCAATGTGCCAGAAGACACAGAACCACAAATCCAATTTAGGACTGTCAGTCCTCAGCACCTACATTGTGCACAGTTAAGGGGCTATTTTTTTCTATTTGTACATACTGCACTCATTTCCTCTAAGACATACTTGGATGGAGTAGGTTGCATCTGGGTCTAGACTCTCTCCTTTTGAAGGTTAACCCTCAGGAGCCACCGTAGCTAACTGCTTCACTCTGATCTCAATCAGAGCCACCCAAGTCCATCAACACACGTTTATGTTCTTGAACTTTAAAGTGGGACGGGTGGAGGGAGAAGTCAAAGTCCTAATTCTCTTTTCCCAAGAGAAGAGCCTCCTTTACTTAATAAATCCCATACCTACAAAAATTAATAGACATTAATTATGATAATAAAATGCAAACACAGAGAGAAGGGAGGCCAAGTGCCTGTGGATACACTGGGGAAAAACGGCATTTAACTACTCCTCCCGATGGTGTCTAAGCTCAGATCTTACTAAATCAATCATGTCTTATTACATAAGGTCACTGATATTTGTGCATTGTGTGTTCCTTTATAAAATTTTTATTTTGTTGTTGTTTCTGTCAGGGGATTATGATTTCCGAATACTGCAATATAGTGACTTTTTACCACTTTATGTAACCTCGGCATCCATGTTGAATACAAGTTTAACTGTCTCAGACCAAAATCAGGTCGCCCATGACACAATTTTCAGTCCTACACTACGCCCACACCCAAATGGCTCAAGCCCGTAGCCAGAAATAAGAACTTAGAGGCCTCTCTACCACTAGCAGGCCGGACTCCCCACTTTCCCACCACTTCCTTTAAAAAAAAACATGCAGGCATTTGCCCAAGAACTGAGAGTCACCCACACCCTATTCCCTAATATATATGCCGCTTATTGCCATGCACATGTGCTCTCTCCCTCTCTCCCAACTCTTCTTTCTCTCTATCTGACTCTTCATTCCCGCCTCACGAGACCCAGGGATAGGCCGCCCCCCAGGCTGGGTTTTTCCCATGATCCTGGGGAGAACAGAAGGTCAGGCTCCCAACGCTAGAGTGATGGAGGCATAAACTGGATCATAAGCCAGAAGGTGTCTGCCAGTATAAACAAGTTTTCCACGTGAGGGGCCCCTGTGGTCGTGGGTTGGATAACTAGACATTAGGCCATCTGCCAGGTAAAGGGTATCCCATGGAAGGTGCACTGTAAACACCTACGTCCAACCCCCCTTTGTTTCCTGTTAGGGCAGGATTGCTGGCTGCTTTGGTTCTAAACTCCAGTTTATCTGAGGGCTCTCAAAACACACAACCCCTGCGGAAGGAGCACGGAATGAACAAGCTCAACGGACTCCATGTCTGTCTTAGTTTGCCCTTCTCGAGTCTTTAGTGTCACGGGCCTCAGGTGACTACAGTGTCTAAATCAGAAAAGAAAAACAAAAGAAACTAGGAACATTTGGCCGGGCGCGGTGGCTCATGCCTGTAATCCCAGCACTTTGGGAGGCTGAGGCGGGTGGATCACCTGAGGTCAGGAGTTCAAGACCAGCCTGGGCAACATGATGAGACTCCATCTCTCCAAAAAGTACAAAAATTAGCTGGGCGTGGTGGTGCGCGCCTGTAATCCCAGCTACTTGGGAGGCTGAAAAAGCAGAATTGCTAGAGCCTAGGAGGCAGAGGTTGCAGAGAGCCAAGGTTATGCTATAGCACTCTAGGCGACAGAGCAAGACTCGGTCTAAAAAATAAAAAAGAAAGAAATCAGAAACATTTCAACAGGACCGGTACACCTCTCTCTGCTCTCCAATGGCACCCCTTGACATTCTACCTTCCAGATTCCTGGGACACAAATCACCCCTCTTGTTTCCAGCTCATTCATTGATACTACTTAGAGTGACTATGATAATGAGCTCCCTGGTGATTTTTATATCTGCTACAAAACGGAGGGGTGGATCAGGCTTCCAAATATGCGTCAGGCTATCTATCATCTTACTTCACTGACCTTGCAATGGAAGCCCTAGGTTGAAATAGGAACATGTGGCAAAGGAAAATGTAATTTCAAAGCCTCTGAAATCACTAGTGAAGGTGGAGGCTGTGGAGCCAGTGTGAGTCCTGGCCATGTTTACTAGCTTGAGCCTGAATCTGGGCAAGTTATTTGACTTCCTGTCACAGGCGGACTGTTAATCACACCTATCCCACAGGGTTGTTGTGAGGATTGAATGTAGCACTGCGTGTGGAGTGCTCAGAATGGCACCTGGCAGGCGAATGTGGGCTACTGTAACTTATTCCCGCATTCCCAGTGTCTGGCACAGCACCTGGCCCCAGGACGTGCAGTCCATTCTTGTTGCTAATGATACTATGATCTTCACAGTCTGAGTCACGTTTTGTGAGGTCCCTGTGAAAAATTTCCGGGGCTCAGGCCTGTGTCTGCCGTCACAGAAAAGTACAAAATCCCACATCGGTGATCAAGGTGTATTTCCACATTTCAGTCTGAGGGTTGGCTTGCAGAGGAAATGCTTCACGGGTTTCAGGCTTATCTTACAATAGAAAAGCCTTAATGTGATTATTAGAATCTTTACCCTTGTGTTTAAATTTACACCTTAATTAGGTCTTGTATCTTTTTTTCCTCTTGGAAGTAAAACTGCAAAACCTGAGGGATGAGGTATTTGTAAAAGACTTCCTTCAAAGTGAGAGGGCACTACAAAATCACAGGTGTACCTGCAGAGTGTCAAAGGGGAGACTGCAAACAGCGACGTTATCCCAACACAGGGGCACTGGGCGCCTTGCTTCATGCAGAATTCAGTTGCAATTGGCCTGAATTTACTTACATTTCTATTTCACTCCGACAGGGGAGTAAACCAATGTTCTCTATTAGATTTGCAATTCTTATTCTAAAGGCACTGTTATGATTTCATTTCTTAACTCTTACTGAAGAGAAAGTAGCCTTTTTGTTCTATTAAGGATGATTTAACATCTTGAAATGTGGGAAGAGGTCTACTTTATTGAAACATGCTGTAGACCAGGGGCCCCCAATCCCTGGGTACCAGTCCATGGCCTGTTAGGAACTGGGCCACACAGCAGCAGGTGAGTGGTGGGCAAGCAAGCTCCGCCTCCTGTCAGATCAGCAGTGGCATTGGATTCTCATAGGAGCATGAACCTTATTGTGAACTGTACATGCAAAGGATCTAGGTTGTGTGCTCCTTATGAAAATCTAATACCTGATGATCTGAGGTGGAACAGTCTCATCCCAAAACCATTCACCCACCTGGCTCCATGGAATAACTGTCTTCCACAAAACTGGTTCCTGGTGCCAAAAAGGTTGGGGACTGCTGCTATAGACCATGATAATGTCTGTTACATCCTTCTACCCCCTTGGCTCTTGCTCTGGGGTTTAATACATGATAGACTCTCAATGCATTTGATCCTTGCCTTCCTCTTTTTGCCTGGTCCACACATAACTGTTACTAAGCTCTCTAAGCACAGACATTGAGGAGGTCCTGGAGGAACAGGTAACAGCAGCAGGCTAATCTGGTAGAAAGGCCATGATGTTAGGACTGAAAGAGACTACACTGTGGTCCCTTGTGGTATGGGAGTCCTTCATAGAGACTGCTCAGTCCCCTTCTGTGTCACAGTCACATAAATCTGAATCCTTGTCTTAGTTCACTTGAGCTGTTGTAACAAAATATCATAAACCTAGCAGTTTGTAAACAACTGGGTTTCGTAAACAACAATAAATAAAAGAAATTTGTTACTCACAGTTCTAGAGGCTGAAAAGTTTAAGACAGGGCACCGTGAGATTTAGCATTTGCTGAGTGTCTGCTTCCTCACAGACCGTGTCTTCTAGCTGTTCCTCACATGGTAGAAAGGCAAACAAGCACCCTCAGGCCTCTTTTATAAGGACTCTAATCCCATGGGTAAGGGGGAAGCCCTCATAACCTAATCACGTGCTAAAGGCCCCACATCTTTTTTTTTTTTTTTTTTTTTTTAGACAGAGTCTTACTCTGTTGCCCAGACTGGAGTGCAGTGGTGCAATCTCAGCCCACTGCAACCTCTGCCTCCTGGGATCAAGCGATTCTCCTGCCTCAGCCTCCTGAGTAGCTGGAACTACAGGTGCGTGTCCCCACACCTGGCTAATTTTTTGTATTTTTAATAGAGACGTGGTTTCACTGTGTTAGCCAGGATGGCCTCAATCTCCTGACCTCGTGATCCGCCCTCCTTGGCCTCTCAAAGTGCTGGGATTGCAGGTGTGAGCCACTGTGCCCAACAGGCCCCACATCTTCATACCACCAAATTGGGAATCAAATTTCAACATCTGAATTTGGGGAAGACACAAACTTTCAGACTATAGCAATCCTAAAGTATTAAGTCTCGGTGAACGTTAGGGAGAAAACTTCATTAGATACTGAGATCAAAGACTGTTGTTAAGTCACTTCCATCAGCTGTATGATCCTATACCTTACTCAGGGTGGGTGCTTAATAGAGCAATATCTGTTGATTCATTGATTATCTTGAAGGTCAGGTGAAAGTTTGTGCCTTAAATAAAGGAGAAGTAAGAACTCACTTCTGTGAGTTCAGATTGGTAGGGAAGGGACTGGGTCTTGTTCATTTTTGTAACCTGAATATTCCATGTATTCACTCAATAAATTAATATTTATTGGACAAGTGGTTGTACAAGCAAATGAACAAGAAAATCTCAGGGATCTCCTCCATGAGAGTCCACTGACTCCTTCTTGGCCCCATCAGTTCAATATGAATACCCCATAAATGATGCTAGAGAAGAAATGATTTTCAAATTGCAGGTGACAGAACGTGAGTTTATTAATACCATACTCCACAAATTCTAAGATGCACATTTTAACTTCTAAAATTAGATGGTTCATACAATCAGTTGCATACTATAGTTTAAGGGGCAGTATTCTTTCATCTTTATGGTAATTTTTCTAAAACATTGCATCTTACAATTAAAGGACTCTTCTATTTGATGAAATATGGTATATTGGTTGATGTAATCCAAATCAAAGGCTATCAACAGGATAGAACAAATAGGAGTGACTTGAACAAGATGGAATTTTGTGGTGATAAACAGTATAGTCCTGCACTTAAGTTCAAAAAATCAATTGCCCAAGTAAAAGATGAAGACAAGTTGGCTTAAATTCAGTTCCTGTCAGGTTTGAGTAGACTTCTAAGGAAGTCAATAGCCATGTCACTGCCCAAAAGCTAATGCAATTATAGGCTGTGCTAATAGAAATATAGTGTCCCCACACAGGCGGAAATAACTCATTGTAATGTTCTTTGGTCAGATCGAGTTTGAAATCTCTTCTTGCCACATTTTAAGAGGCACATTAACAAACTGGAGCATCTGCTTTTATTGAAATTGTGCTTTGGAGTTAAGCCCTAGATCTACAATGAGAGATGACTTTAAAAGAAACAATTTGAGTAAATGTGGTATTGAATTTATCATAAGGAAATTGCTAGATGCATTCTTCTCTGGGAGAACCCAGGAGGTCCAGCGATAGCTACGTTTCCTGTTTGCCTTTATGAAGGCTGAATTGTACAACTGCCCGTGTTTCCCTTTTTGCTCTGGCCGCCCGTAAGTTCAAAAGGCAAATACCTAGCCAAGCTTAGAGATCCGTACGGCATGTATTAGTGCACTACGCTTACCTTGGGTCAATATTTCCTGCGTTTATTTTCCCTTTGCTAATATTTCCTCCATTACTTGTATAATCCTGCTGTATCATTTATGCTTTTGCAGACTCCTTCCAGTCTCTTTTGGGATGAGATGAATGAATAAACACCAAAAATAACCAAGTAAAAAATGGATGCATATTCAGAGAGGAGAGCAACTGGGGAGACAAGTGATGAGGAAATTATTCCTGAGAGATATGGCGAAGGAACCGGAACTATTGGAAAAGCAGAAGGCTGATTGGGGAATGAGCGTAATCCTGCACACATTGACAGGCCTATCATACTGGAAACAGATTCGGTATATTCTGTATGACTCGGAGTAAAATCAGTGAATGTTAGAGAGAGAGTTGTGTTTATTTTCTTGATATAAAGGAAAAAGGTGCCAACAAGTGGAGCTGCCCAAAATTAGAATGGCTGCATTGTGAGGAACCGTGCTCCTGTTTGTGGAAGCGCTTAAGTTGAGGCCAGAGGGCCACGTGTCAAGGACTGGGACGATGGGATTCCTGAAGGGTGTTGGAAGTCCCTCTTGACTTGTGAGTCAACATTCCGTGCAATGGAGGTTGAGACAGGGAAGAAGACACCTGCTGGGAGAAGGGAGCTTGACCAAGAAACTTGCCCTAGTAGAATGGGATTCAGGGAGACAAAGGCCTCTAGGGAAAGAGGTCACTTCCCAGGGAGGGCCGTCCACCTGCCCTGGAGATCTGCTTCCAAGCCCAGTCCTCACACTGAAAATGGCACAAAGAGAAATCTGGAACACAGACATGAGCACTGAGAAGGACAGGCCTCCAACCGGCCTTCCTGTTCTCCACAGTCCCCTCTATCAGGGGACAGGAATGTGGCACTCTCAATTCCCCAGGGGTCTTTTTTATTCCCTTTCCTGGGTTCAAATTCCATCCTTGCCTCTGATTGGCTAACAATTACCTCATTGTCTTTTCACTTGCTTAGAAAATCACATCTGCCTTCTCCACCCCCTTCCCTCCCTTCCCAGTGCCTCTTACTCCAAAATGACAGCGTCTTTCCCTTGCTGTGTATTCCTGCCCTCAAGTTCACAACTCCCCATTGTCTTCGACCTGATGTCCCAGGGCTTTCTGCTTTTCTTCCCTGACTGCATTAGCCATGCAGATTTATGCAGTGCTTCCCCCAGTCCTCAGCCATCTTCCCTGCTATGTTAATATTCAATGTTTTCCTTTCCTTCAACTCTGCTTTCAGCAGATCTTATTCCACCCCGCCTCGGAGCGGCTCCCAGCTTGGTGGGGGCAGCTGGGTGTGGTGAGCACAGGACACTGCGGTGGACAGATGGACTGGCGGAGGGGCAGGAAACGCCCCCAGCCCCAGCTCAGCTGCTGAGTGATTTTATCGAGTAGGAGGGGAGGAATGAGACAGCTCCGCCAGCCCAGGCTAAAAACAGACCTGGCCTCCTCCGAATGTTCCACAGATTGGGACCCTCTTCCTCCCTTCTCAATTCCTGCCATCTCTCCAAACCTCAAATCCTACAGCCACCGTGTGGCTTCTGTCCCCGTCAAGGCCACTCAGGATGTTGATCTTAATTTGATTTTGACAGAGGAGGAGGGGGAGGGAGCTCACAGTGTGATCTGTCCTCTTCTCTCCACCCACCTCCCAGGGTGGCCAGGGTCCAGCCAGCAGGACCTACAGTTTGGAATAATTTACAGCCTGAGACCTCAGAAGGTTGGAACCCAGCCAAGGCCATAAACTTTGTTCAGAGTGCTGTGACAGTTTATGGTGAAGGGCAGACAGGACGGACTTACTGGTCCCGGGCCTGCCCCTTCATTACAGAGCACCCACCCTTCTGCCACTCCTCTCACCAGTGGGGCCATGGTGACTTGCTGAATGGCACATGGGAAGCAGGCCTAGGTCCTCACACTTGGTTCCTGTGTCCTGGGATCCCCACACACCCTGGCCCTCACATACCCATATACCCAGGTCCCAACACATCCTGGTCCCACACTCCCAGCTCCCCACATGCCCTAGACCTCACACACCCCATATACCTAGTTCCCTACACACCAGGGTCTTCACACACCCCACACACTCAGGTCCCCACACACTCTGGCTTTCACACACCCATCTCCTCACACACCCATCTCCTCACACACCCAGGTTCACACACACCCAGGTCCTCACACACCCAGGTCCACATACACCCAGGTCCACACATACCCAGCTCCTCACACACCCAGCTCCTCACACACCCAGGTCCTCACACACCCAAGTTCACACACACTCAGGTCCACACACACCCAGGTCCTCACACACCCAGGTCCACATACACCCAGGTCCACCCATACCCAGCTCCTCACACACCCATCTCCTCACACACCCATCTCCTCACACACCCAGGTCCACACACACCCATGTCCTCACGCACCCAGCTCCTCACACACCCAGGTTCACACACACCCAGGTCCACACACACCCAGGTCCTCACACACCCAGCTCCTCACACACGCAGGTCCTGACACACCCAGGTCCTCACACACCCGGGTACACACACACCCAGGTCCTCACACACCCGGGTTGACACACACCCAGGTCCTCACACACCCAGGTCCTCACACACCCGGGTACACACACACCCAGGTCCTCACACACCCAGGTCCTCACACACCCGGGTACACACACACCCAGGTCCTCACACACCCGGGTACACACACACCCAGGTCCTCACACACCAGGGTACACACACACCCAGGTCCTCACACACCCAGCTCCACACACACCCAGCTCCTCACACACGCAGGTCCTCACACACCCAGCTCCTCACACACCCAGCTCCTCACACATGCAGGTCCTCGCACACCCTGGTCTTCTCAGACCCTGGTCCTCGAACACGTGGGTCCTCACATCCTCTTGTCCTCCTACGTGGGCCTGTGAGGCACACACAGAGAATGGAGGGTCACAGAGTAGACACATTAACCCATATCAAAGGCCGGCCATCAGGAAGGGGTAGAGATGCTTCCCTGACTCCCATTCCGTCTACCGGGAAATGCTGTCAAGTGAACTTCCTTCAACTTTGAGGGAAATAGACTACAAAATAAGTCATGTGAAAAGGGTGTGAGGAGGAAGAGGGCCCGGCACTTGTTTCTGCGAGTATAGCCCAAATGTAAGGCCTCTACCAGCATTTGTCTAAACAACACTGTCACGGTCATATTTTAAAACAAGGGATGGAACCTATCCTAGCCTCCTTCGGTTGGGATTCAGGGGTTCAGGGTGCCCTCAGTTCTCCTGAGAGGACGTTTCTCCAGGTTCTTGGTCTATCACTCCCAAGAATGGGAGAGGAGACCACGACGTGATGCGCTAGTAGAAGTAAATGCCAGACTCAAAAGTGTTTGTAGAAGGTGATTTATTTAGGTAAAGAAAGAGAAACGGGAGAAGGAGAGAGAAAGAAACAGCTAATTCTCCATTAAGTGAGAGAATCCAGACAGATGGAATCCAGGAGAGGAAAGCAGCTTCCACACTGAGTGGAAGGGAACAGAGAGAGATGAAGTTTAGGAGGGGAAGACAGGCTTCCACGAGAGAGTGTGGAAGGGGACTCCAGAGGGAAAATCCAGAAGAGAGAAAGACGGCTTCCACACAGGGAGTATTCCTGGAAGGGGACCCAAACATGGAGTCTGAAGGGGTGAGGAAGAAGGGGACATTTAACCTGGGAGGAACTCCCTCCTTCTCCAACTTCTCTGACCAATGAAAGGAGTTCCTTAGAACTTCCGCTGGAGTGATTGACTTTTTTATTCTTTCAGTGCCTATGAAAATTAAAACAGAAACTGTTAAATCTCCCGGATGGAGAGAGATGGGAGGGGGCAAGGTGCTGGAAAGTTCTTGCCCTTAAAACTACACAGATCTGGAAAGAGAACATGGATCCAGAAAGAGAACACATTCCCTTACTTTGACTACGGGAAACTTGTTTTTCCCCTGTGTTTCCCTCCATGTATTTCTGAGGCAACCCCCATTCTGCGAAGTCTTCCCTGGTTGGCCCAGCTCCCTTGGTCGGGCCCTGCCTCCAGCCAGCCCCTCAACCACCCTTGGGAGCAGCCTTCTCCTGACTGTCTCTCAAGCTGGGCACAGGTCCTTCCCTCCAGCCCCGACCATGACAGCAAAAGCCAGTTCATCTTTAACAAGATTCTTACCTAAAGCTTAGGTGAAGGGTATTACAGCACAGCCACAAAAATAACAAAAACCTTCATGTCAGGTAGAGGAGAAAACAGAATCTGCAGGCCTCGCCTGCTTATAGAATACCACGCTGTCCTCCTCCCAGCCTGTTCACTCAGGAAGAAGCCAACCTTTCTCTCCCCACATCTGAGGTCTGCAATCACTTACAGCCTATGTAGAGCCTCTCACCGCAGCACCCCTGTGCAAAGCCCTGGGCTCCACTTCTTAAAGCTCATGGAAAGGAAACTGCAACTCTTGTCTTGCTCCGGCCTCATTTCCTGTCTCAGGTGTTAACTCTTCCCAGGGTGACTGACAACGGGATGGTTCACTCACTTCAGAACCACGAGGTTGACTCATCCAACAGCCTGGCCTCTGGTTTCCTCCATCTGCTCACATCCAGCAACCTTTTCCTTCACTCCATCTCAGCCACCAATACCTGTAACCAGCTTAGACGTTGTCACCACCAAGGAGAGCACCAGCTCTGAAATTTCCTTCTCAAAAATCCCCACCAGACCATGAAAAGACATGGAGGAACTGTGAAAGAAAGAAGCCAATCTGAAAAGGCTACCTGCTGTATGATTCCAACTATTTGACACCAGAAAAGATAAAACTGTGGAGATTGAAAGGAAAAGTATTTGGCAGAGGTTTGGGAGAAGGGAGGGATGAAGAGGTTGAGTATAAATTATTTTCAGGGCAGTGAAACCATATTGTATGATACCCTGCTGGAGTATACATGTCATTATTTCTTTGTCAGGACCCACAGAATATACAACACCAAGAGTGAACCCTAACGCCATGAACTATGGAATTTGGGTGTGTCTTACGTGGGCTGGGTAATTTACGCAGAGAAAAAGTTCGTTTGGCTCAGAGCTCTGTAGGCTGTACAGGAAGCATGGTGCCAACAACTGCTTCTAATGAGGGCCTCAGGCTGCTTCCACTCATGGTAGAAGGCGAAGGGGAGTCAGCACATGCAGAGATCATATGGCAAGAGAGCTCTTTTTAGCAACCAGCTCTCACTGGAACTAGTAAAGCAAGAACTTACTCATTTCCATGAGGACGGCACCAACCGCCTACATGAGGAATCCACCCATGGTCCAAGCACCTGCCACTAGGCCCCACCTCCAGCACTGGGGATCAAATTTCAGCATGAGATGTGGAGGGGACAAATACTCAAACCATGTCAAGGTCAGCGGAGGTTCATCAGTTATAGCAAACGTACCACTCTGGTGGCGTATGTTGACAGCAAGGCTGGTTGTGCACCTGTGGGGGCAGAGCGTATATGGGAAAGCTCTGTACCTTCTGTTCCATTTTGCTGTGGACCTAAAACTCTAAAATACAAAGTAGATTTTTTTTAAATTTTTAACTAATTTCCTGTCCTTCATTCCACATGCTCTATACCCTTTTGGCTGAGACTCTTTAATTACATTGAGACACATCATGTGTCCCTCACTCTTCAGCAGGCCTCTTGTGTTAACTGCATTCCTGATCCAACTTAAAACCCAGAGCCCACCCTGATAAATGCTACCTCACAAATACCCTCCACCCTGATCCTTTCTCTTGGCAAAACCCTCTCTCTGATGACCTCGATGACTGTTTTCTCTTTACCTGTACCCAGTGTGCCTAAATAAAATATTTCTAGAGAAAATCTTATGCCAGGTTGACATGCACACTTTAAATTCATGACCACAAGCCTGACCAGAGTGCTCAAAGCTGCCCTCCACACCGACCGTTTCCTACTCTCTGGAGTAACTAGCTCATATCTTCTTGTTCTTACCTTAGACTTTTCACATTTTCCGCCACTGCACCCTCTTCAGCAGGTTATACTGCTGAAGCTCACCTTATACTACATGGAGAAAATAGAAGCTTTCAGATAAGAATCCTCTCATCTCTCCATCACCAAATGTAGAGTACGGCCTACATTCCCACACACTTCCTCCTCTGCAAGCCAGGTGAGTAGGTTAAAGTGTCCTTGCCATAATCAAAGCCACACCCTTGATTTGAGGTGTAGACCTCAGTCTTTTGCTCCTCCTTGTGGACATGGCCCCTGCAGAAATCCCTGATACCTTCTGCATCATCAGACTCTTGCTTTACTGGGTCATTTACATCACTTTACAAACATATTCATCTTTAAGAAGAAAAAAGATACAGGAAGAGATCTTCAGCATCATTAGTCATCAGTGAAATGCAATTCAAAACCATAAGACGTGAAACTTTGCACCTATTAGGATGGCTACAATAAAAAGATAATAATAAGTATTGACTAAGGTGTGGACAAATTGGAGCCCTCTTACAAGGCTGATGGGAATGGTAAAATGGTACAGCTTTGGAAAAACAGTCTGGAAGATACTCAGAAAAGTTAAACAGAGTCACCATATGATCCAGCAATTCTGCTCATAGGTATCTACCCAAGGGAAGTGAAAACAAATGTCCACACAAAAATTTGTACATGAATGTCCATAGCAGCATTATACATGGTAGCCAAAAAGGAAACAACTCAAATGTCCATCAATTGAAGAGTGAAAAAATTATAAATAGTATATCCATACAACAAAGGTTACTTAGTAATAAAAGAAATGAACTACTGATATATGCTACAACATGGACAAACTTTGAAACTTATGTTAAGTGAAAGAAACCAGACACAAAAGACCACATATCATATGATTGTATTTAAGTTTTAATAGGTAGATGTGGAGTTTCTTTTTGGCTTGATTAGAATGTGACAAAACTGACTGTGGTGATGGTTGCACAACTAAAATCGAACAATTTAAGTGTGAAAGTGTCATGGCATGTAAATTATATCTCAGAAAAGCTGTTATTAAAAAAAAAAAAAGAAAAAGAAAATACCTTTGAACCCTCGTTCCCCTTCATCTACTGCCTCATCCTTTGTTCTTCATAGCAAAACGTTTTGGAAGAGTTGCTTTTATAACTCTTATTTTTATAGTGCTAGCTCTGCTTTCTGATCTTCTTCCATAATTTATCATCATCATCATTAATTTATTATTTCTTTTTTGAGGGCCACAGATGAAAGTAGTTGAATTACTCAGACTCCTCAACTTATGACCATCATCTTTAGGGTGAACAAGGTCCCTAGTGTTTTATTTCATTTTATTTTTTGAGATGGAATCTTGCTTTGTCACCCAGGCTGGAGAGCAGTGGTGCAATCTTGGCTCACTGCAACTTCTGCCTCCCAGGTTCAAGTTATTCTCCTGCCTCAGCCTCCCAAGTAGTTGGGATTACAGGTGCACACTACCACACTCAGCAAATTTTTTTGTATTTTTAGTAGAGATGAGTTTTCACCATGTTGGCCAGGCTGGTCTTGAACTCCTGACCTCAAGTGATCCACCCACCTCAGCCTCCAAAGTGCTGGGATTACTGGTGTGAGTCACCGTGCCCGGCCCCTTCCCTTCATTTCTAATCTCAACTCTTCTTTCTTTCCCCTCCACATAGACACCCATTCAAGTATGTTTTGCCTAAGACCTTGTATGTGCATTATTTCTGAAAAAAATGGTGTTCTATTGTTATTATGTGTTTCTAATATACACAAACAGTACAGGGCTATACAACACAAACAGGAAATAGGAATACTACACAAATCGTATAGCACTGTACTATTGTGCTCAACTACTATTTGTGTAGTACAGCACCAGCCTCAGAGACAGTGAGCACATTGGTCAGAGTGTAAGCTGGAATCCCAACTCTGCTACTTACTCACTGGGTGACTTTAAGTAAGGAACTTAATGCTCAGTATTTCCATTCCATGTTTGTAAAATAAAGATTTATTCAACAAACATTCACAAATATTTATTGAGAACCTTCTATGTGCCAGCCATATAGACTGTGTAATTTATAAATAATAGAAATTTATTTCTCAGAGCTCTGGAAGCTGGGAGTCCAAGATCAAAGTGCCTACAGATTCTATGTCTGGTGAGAGCAAACTCTCTACTTCATAAATGGGCCTCTTGCTGCATCCTCATGTAGCAGAAGGGCAAAAGGGATGAACTAAGTCCCTCAAGCCCTTTTATAAGGGCACTAATCCCATTTATAAAGGTCAAGCCCTCATGAACTAATCACCTCCTATAGGCCCCAACTTTTAATACTATTCCACTGAGAATTGTCAATATGAATTTTGGGGGGATGCAAACATTCAAACCATAGCAAAGGTCAACATACAAAAATTGTATACTTTTCTGTATTCCAGCAACAGAATTAGAAAATAAAATTTTAAAAGCATATCAGCTAAATAACATCAAAATATACAAACTGGTTATAAATCTAAAAATGATGTGTCAGGTATACATATAGAAAACTAGGAAACATTTTTGAGAGAAATTAAATACTAAAATAAGTAGAATGAAGTATACAATGTTCATAGATAGAAAGACGCAACAGTGTAAAAATGTGTATTTTCCTCAAATGAATCTATAAATTCAATTCAATCCTAAGGGTTTATTGGGGATTTTTTTGATGAAATTTAACAAGTCATTTTAAAATTTATATGGAAATACAAAGGCCCAAGGATAACCTAAAATGTCTTGAAGAAAAACAAGTAAGAGAGCTTTCTGTCCTTGAAATCACAACTTACTATAATGCTATAGCAGCCAAAGCATTATGATACTGGTGCAAGAATAGACTGACCAATAGACAAATGGAATAGAAAAGAGAGTGAGAAACAGGAACAGACATACATATATATGTATGAACATATGATATGATAGAAGTGGAAACTCCAGGCAAGTTGCACTGGCTCACACCTATAATCCCAGCAATTTGGGAGGTCAAGCCAAGCAGATCACTTGAGGCCAGGAGGTTGAGACCAGCTTGGCCAACATGGTGAAACCCCATCTACTGAAAATACAAAAATTAGCCAAGCATGGTGATGCATGCCTGTAATCCCAGCTACTCAGGAGGCTCAGGCATGAGAATCACTTGAATCTGGGAGGTGGAGGTTGCAGTGAGCTGTACTCCAGCCTGGTTGACAGAGTGAGACTCTGTCTCAAACAAAAAAAGTGGAAACTCTGAGTAAATCAACTGTGCATCTAAACATGAAACATAATAGACCTTCTAGAAATTAATAAATATTTTCATGACCTTACAGGAGTAAAATATTTTTAAAATAGAACACAAAAAGCACTAACCACACATACATACACAAAAAAAGACTGATAAATTAGACTACAGTAAAATTTAGAATTTCTGTTTATTAAAAGACACCATTAAGACCAGGCACAGTGGCTCGTACCCGTAATCCCAGCACTTTGAGAGGACAAGACAGGAGGATCACTTGAAGCTAGGAGTTTTAGACCAGCCTGAGCAGCATAATGAGGCCCCCATCTTTACAAAAATAAAATTAGCTGGGCATGGTGTCATGCATCCATAGTCCTAGCTACTTGGGAGGCTGAGGCAGGAGGATTGCTTGAACCAAGGTGTTTGAGACTCCAATGAGTTATGATTGCACCCTCCTTCCTTCCTTCCTTCCTTCCTTCCTTCCTTCCTTCCTTCCTTCC